AGTTTGACTGAGGCCTTAACCATGGCCTGGAATGAGCAGGCAACAAAAGCCTTTAATCAGATTGCACCTGTGTGGACTCTCTGTGACCATGGATCCTATAGAGTCCCCTAGTTTACCAAGGAGCTCCAGGAGATGAAGTGATGCAAGAGACACCTTGAGTGCTGCTGGAAAAAGACAAAAAGCAAATTTAATCAAGCATAGGCAAGAGCCTCTATTAGGATGTACCTTGCAGCAATAAGAGCAGCGAAGTGAGCTTATTTCTCTGATTTTATTGTATCTGCAGATAGCCAGCCAGCAGCTGTTTCAGATGACCAGGTCCCTCCTTGTAAGGAGTGGCCAGAGGAACTCTTGCAGGGCTACTGTGAGGATTATTCTAGGCATCTGTCACAAAGTTACTCTGAGTTGAGACTCTGGCAGGGCAGAGCCTATGGAAGTTACCAAAATATGTCTTGCTTGGCTATCTGGGAAAAGTTGCAACCAGTTGGTCCTAAGGAAGTGGATAGGGTCCTTGCTGCTGTAAGCTCTGCCACTTGTGCTCTGGACCTGCAGCTTTGGAATGAAAATTATGGAAACTGAAGTTCAATACAGCTGGAGAGCAACAAATGGGGGAGCCTGCAAAACTTGAGGAAAATGACGAAAGTGTTGTGATGTATTGCACTTGTATGTACCTCACTGAGACTTTAAAAATATCACTGTCCAGCTATAATTCATTATTTCTTAGCCATGCAGCTGAGGCAAACTGATTAGGAAATAAAAAAATCAATGCTTCTCCTAAATTATGAGACTTAACTGCAGTCTCTTCCTTCCTTCAAACAACACACATCCATTCATTTAAGCACAATCTAGGCTGGCAATATATTTAAAACTCCAGTTTTTAAAAGGGCTGGTTCCAGTTTCATGTTTTCAAGTTTAACATGCATAATGGGCAATAATAGCTAATGCATAAACTGACCTTCTTGAAATCCTCCATAAAACCTGTCTACCCATTGGCTAATACACAGCTGTGTTGGACCTGCCTGCCCCAAAACCCCACTGGGCCACACCAAACATGAAGCACTCTTTCAATGGCTGAGTGACAATGATGGGCACCCATTGACTCTTCATTTTCTTGACTTCACTCACTCACAGCCACTTAATCTACTGTTATGCTTTTCTGGAGGGAAGGGGGCATTTTCTAGTGCCAAATGCAGCTGCATATACTACACCCCTCTTAATCCAGCCCTGCAAAACATTGCTCACCCAGGTGAAATCTTTATACTTGCCAAGTCCCTGGAGATTCTGATTGTCTCAAATCATGTGCTATGTCAAATATTTTTAAATACCTTGAAGAGTATACTGAGTTAAAAAAAAAGTTAAGCAATGTTTATTTACCATTTTCATAGCTCCAGGTTTTTCACTTTTTATCTCCAAATGTATTTGTTCCTGCTCACATCCATCCCCATTCCCAGACTTCTCTTTCAGTATCAAAAATCTTTCTTGATTCATCCCAGTTTAGTGCCACAATCAGTAAGGACTCCCACAGTTAGCATCAACAGCAACAAAACCAGAAAAAAAAATCTATAAACACAATACTATTATAACTCCTGACAGCATCAGAACATCACATTCTAAATGCTGGAAGATCTTACCAACTTAGGGAAAGTCATTAGGGAGAGTGTTAACCTGGCCTTAAAGAGGGAAGTTGTTCATAACATAGAGGCTGCCATCAGAAAGCACTGTTTACAAGTCCTTACCGCTAATCTCCTGAAAATGGGGGACCACTAACCATTTCTGCTGTAACACATTGATAATTCTGTAATATTCTATAGTGCCATTCAAATGCACCTACCATTACGCTATCCTTTTTTAAGCAAGCAAAAGCAAACCAACAAATTCCCTAATTTTCACTCATACATTTCTTTTGAATCTTATGAATTACACCCAGAAATGGATTATGATTGAAGGCATTTGCTAGAAGTAACATATAAAAAGGTTGTACCCAAATGAGTGCCCAACATATATGGTTATCTGTTTGCAGAAGGAAAATGAGGAAAACACATCTCAAATATAAAGAACATCTTTAATGAAGAGCATATTATGAGATATGAGTTATTTCATTCTCCAAGAATCAAATCTTTCAAACAGGAAACCTTAAATTTGTTTAAAAAGACTTATTAAATAAGGTTTCATTATACATTATTAACCGATAAAATAACATTTTGTATACCTGTGCATTGGATTCAAGGCTACTTAACCATTATCTACTCTAGTCTTCCCTAAATCCAGAGATATATGGGAGCAACACTGGATTCTTGTATAGATCTTTAGTGCAAGTCAGACCAGCAAGCATATATTTGCATATGACTAGTCAAATGATTACAAAAAAGCAGTGAATTGGAAGTGAACAGAAACTATTCATACAAAAGTATGCAAGGATCTATGAGAAAAAGCAATTATGGCTGTGCTCAACTACATAAATATAACAGATATATCTTAATCAATTCTCCAATTTCTGTCTCATCTCTTTCTGATTCACATTTTCAAATTATTAAACATTTGGAGGGCAAGACAGGAAGGAAATAGAGATAAAACTACCTGGGTTATTACTTAATTTTACTTCCCAGTTCTAAAAATTTCATCTGAAGAACCTGAAGTTTGTATTTTTCAAGCTACATCGATTGGCTGAAGGATGGTTTGGGGCTGCACTGTATAAAAATACTTTAGATAATGTGAATGCTCCTATCTCAGTGACAACTACCAAATAATTTATTTAAAATAAAAGAGGAAATATCAATCACATAAACACTGTGCATACAAACAAGAATCTATCTTGATTCATGAGGGGAAAAATCCAGTATCAACAACTGCATAGTACATTTTAAAAAAAAATCAATCAATTTGTCACAGAGTATGTGCTACCTTGAGTGTTCTACAGAGCTCTTCATCAAACAGGAAATGAGATGAGGAGACAATGTGACTGAATGGATTTGTCATTTGTAGATACTGTGTGTATTGAATTTTACCTAGCTTATAGGACAAAGAAGCAAAGGCTGACCTCTGCATTTCTGGATATATATTTATGCCAGCTGTAACTCAGATTTCTTTCTCCCTTGCCTTGAGCAAAATACTTAAGCTCCTGGAAAGTCAGAGAGCAGAAATAAAGAAAAGCACAATTATAATTATATTAGTAAGACCAGTGGTTCAGGGTTGGTGTACCTGGCAGAAAGTCAACTGAAGCCAAATCCATATCTAGTATTTGAAAGGAACCTCTCAAATTACAACATTTTTTCCTGGTAACAAAAAAATCAAATTTGGCCTAATTTGGGGATATTTATTATTTTCCAAGGTTTACATGCTACTTTAATCAGGGATGGCACTAAAAGGCATATGTTCCAATATTATAACAACAAATTAAATCAATTAAAATTATGAAACAGTAATAGTAGTAGTAACCTTCACATTTATCATTATACTACAGAATGACACTCTCTGTAAGAACTAATCACCTACTGCAGAGTGGGAAGTCACCATTCTATCAATCTCCAAAGGCTTTTCAAAATAGTCAGACCTAAGTAGCTTTAGTAAATGCCAGCAGGGTTGGTGCTGATCTGACCTGCTAATTTTACTTCTCTCCCTTTATGTGCCACATACACTGCGTGCACATTTATTAGGCAAGTTGTATTTTTGAGGATGAATTTCATTATTGAACAACTACAGTGCTCTC